TGATCGTCTACCCCTGGACCCAGAGGTTCTTTGATAACTTCGGGAACCTCTCCAGCCCCACTGCCATCATCGGCAACCCCAAGGTCCGTGCCCATGGCAAGAAAGTGCTCACCTCCTTCGGGGATGCCGTCAAGAACCTGGAAAACCTCAAGGCGACCTACTCCAAGCTGTCTGAGCTGCACTGCGAGAAGCTGCATGTGGACCCCGAGAACTTCAGGGTGAGCTGACCTCAGGGTTTGGCCCTCTCTCCCTCCATCCTGCAGAGTGCCTCAGTGCCTGGAGGGTTTCAAACAAGCATAAATGACATTTATTTTAGTTACCAAAGAGAAAGGGGCTGGCTTGGATGGAAAGTGGGGGAGAGGGAAAAGTTAGGCACTTGATAATGCCAGGGAAATGCCATGCTCCAGGCTGTGAGGGGTTTGGGGACAAATGTACAGAGATGTTCTGAAAGCCTGGAGACTTGAACAGGCATGGCTTGAGGAAAGCAGGAGAAGGATGCCGAGAGGCTAAGTGGGGCTGAGGGTGGAGAGCATGGAGGGCAGTCCCGCTGTGTTGGTGCCATGGGCAGCCTCTTCCTCGCCCCTCCTGGCCCCAAGGATGGGGACTACTTTGTCTCCCCTTTTTCCAAGGCTGGCCGACACAGGAGGAGAGGGAAAAGCAAGTATGGGATGGTCAGGGGCTGGACACTAATGGGAAGAGATGCAGACTGCGATTAGAGACAGAGAGGACAGGTCTGAACATGGGGATGAGGTCAGCAGATGAGGGAGGGGAGCAGGAGGGGAATGAAGCAAAAGGGATCAGGGTGCAGGGCGGTGAGAAGTCATTGTGAGTGAAGAGAGGGAGCAGTTCCGGTTGGAAGGGACTGAGAGGGCTGCATGTGGCTGATGGCCCCTGTCTCAGTCTCTGTTTAAGCCTGGTTTTGGGGATGTAGCAGGTAGACCTCACACTGACCCTAGCCCTCTGCTCAAGTAGGCACGGGGTTTCACAGCAGAAAAAAAAAAAGAAAAGAAAAAAGAAAATGCCTGGGAATAAAGTTTAGAGGCTGGAAAAAGCAGGTGTGAGAAGCAGCAGAGACAGAGCAGGTGGATACTGGTGCATATGGTCAGCACAGGACTATTTTCCCAAATAGAGAATTCAGCGAAAAGAGCATCCCTGGGTTGCAGCCCCCAGGGCCCACCAGAGAGCTGGGTTCCCTCCTGCCCCTGGTCCCCGCGTCCTGTGCAGGGCAAAGAGGTGCTCAGCACCGCGCTGACCTGATTTCCTTCCTTCTCCTCTCCAGCTCCTGGGAGACATCCTCATCATTGTGCTGGCAGCACATTTTTCCAAGGACTTCACCCCTGCCTGCCAGGCCACCTGGCAGAAGCTGGTCGGTGTGGTGGCCCATGCTCTGGCCTACAAGTACCATTAAACCCTCTGCAGGCAGATGTGTCTGTAACAGTCAATAAAACCCCCACATTTTCTGGACTTCTTAGTGTGTTTCTGTGTCTCTGCAGCTGCCTGTGGGGTGGGAGGGAGGCAGCAAGGGGCATGAAAGGGGGAAGATGGGCTCCGGGCTGCCGGGAGCATCACGCTCAGAAAGGCAGCCAGGCTGGCCAAAGGGGAGGCTACTTTTCCTGGCTATTTCGGCTGCCTCCGAAAGGCATCAGCCTGCTGGCTGCCCGGCGGGGCTGGTCCTGGACCTCCACGCACAAAGTGATGCTGGGCTGCGCCTCGCATATGGAGCTCCAGTGGGACATCTGGGGATACTGGCCTCTAAAACAGCGATGGGTACGTCCCAGCCCACCTAGTACCTCTGAGCTTGCCAAAATTGCCGGGGAGGGGATTTCTGACCTATTCTGTGCAGAAGGCCAAGCTGCAGGGCAAGCAAGGGACCCTCTGGCCCTAAATGGCTCAACCTGTGATCCACACAAGGATAGAAATTTGTAGAGGTTCAATGAAGCCAGCTTAGATGAGGCAGAAATTTGTCCCTTCATAATTTAGTACTGATGTATTTTTAAGAAGTTGATCAAAAGCATTTGCTGAATCAGCAATGAAAATGTTCTTACTATTAATCCTGTGCATTTTGATCAGAACACAATATCTAAAAGAAAATGTGTATGATTGCAAGAGGAGGGGATGAGGGCAGCTTTTAAACAGGACAGATGAGAGGTTTTTTTTACTCAGTTGGCTCAATGGAAGAATGTTTCTTCACTAGAATGGAAGGATTTTGCATTAGCATATCAGTGTCAGCAATTTTTTTCAAAGAAAAATTTAAAAAGCAGCAAGGACAGACCAAACTACTGGTCTTCTGTGATGGAGTGACCATATCAGTTGACAAGGGAAGAGCTACCGATGTTGTCTGTCTGGACTTCTGACCTTTGGACTTTGACATGGTCCCCAACAACATCCTTCCCTCTAACCTGGAGAGAGATGGATTTGATGGGTGAACTGTTGGGTGGATGAGGAATTGGTTGGATGGTCGCACCGGCTCAATGTCCAGATGGAGATCACTGATGGACCCTCAGGGGTCCGTACTGGGACCAGTACTCTTTAATACCTTCATCAACGACACAGTGGGATTGAGGGCACCCTCAGCAAGTTTGCAGAGGACACAAAGCTGAGTGGTGTGGTTGGTGTTCCTGAGGAACAGGATGCCATCCAGAAGGACCTGGACAAGCTTGAGGAATGGGCCCAGGTGAACCTCAGGAGATTCAACAAGGCCAAGGTCCTGCCCCTGGGTCAGGGCAACCCCCAGTATCTGTACACGCTGGGGGATGAAGGGATAGAGAGCAGCTCCATGGAGAAGGACTTGGGGGTCCTGGTGGGTGAAAAGCTGGACACGAGCCGGCAATGTGTGCTAGCAGCCCAGAAGCCAACCGTGTCCTGGGCTGCCCCCAAAGCCGCGTGGCCAGCGGGGCGAGGGAGGGGATTCTGCCCCTCTGCCCCGCTCTGGGGAGACCCCCCTGCAGTGCTGGGTCCAGCTCTGGAGCCCTCGGCACAGGAGAGACATGGACCTGCTGGAGCGGGGCCAGAGGAGGCCCCAGCAACGCTCCGAGGGCTGGAACAGCTCTGCTGGGAGGCCAGGCTGGGAGAGCTGGGGGGGCTCAGCCTGGAGCAGAGAAGGCTCCGGGGAGACCTTCCTGCAGCTGCCAGGGTGAGAGGGGCTGAGGAGAGAGATGGGGACAGGCTTTTTAGCAGGGCCTGTAGCGATAGGACAAGGGGTAATGGTTTTAAACAAAAGAGGGGAGATTCAGACTAGATCTACTGCAGAAACGTTTCACAATGAGGCTGGTGAAGCCCTGTCCCAGGTTGCCCAGAGAGGTGGTGGCTGCCCCATCCCTGGAAACATCCCAGGTCAGGCTGGACGGGGCTCTGAGCAACCTGCTCGAGTTGGGGATGTCCCTGCTCATGGCAGGGGCTTGGACTAGATGGCCTTGAAAGGTCCCTTCCCACCCAAAGATTCTGTGATTCTACGTCAGTGTCACAGAATGATGAAATCCTTGGTTTGCATGATTTAGGAATAAATTTTCTGCCTTTCTCCTGATAAAGCAGGGATTTGCATTTATGACCCCTGCATCCTACACAGACAGCCTGTCTGACAGGCAAAGGATCCAGCCTTTGGCATTGCCACATCCACTGGCATTGCCAAGAACATCCTGGGCTAGGGGAAATGAAAAAGAAAAAAAACCATAAATGAGTCCAGCTTTCCTGCAGCATGTCATTCTCCTTTCAGTCAGCAAATGTGCATTTCAGCATGATTTCAGGAGGTAAGACTGTTCTCAATGTCTCGTTCCAGTTACACAAAAGTGCAGTTAAAAACCTTGGAAGTTGCTGCCAAGGAGAAAAGGTCTCCTGCACTTGAGGCACAGGTGGACATAACATTAACAAATGACCATGGGTGCAGCCAGCAGCACACGCTCTGCCTATTTATGTGTTTTTGGGACCTCTGGCTCTCGAACCAGCAAGCGGTTGCACAGGGGCTGTGGACCTCAGCAATACGTTTTCGCCCCAGTGTCCTTGAATGTCTTAATCGTTCTGTTCCTCCTGTCCCACCCTGTGCCATGGACACATCCTCGTGGTGATGTGGAGCGTGTCAGGCTCCCTGACGGTGCACTATGGCCAGTGCCTGGCTGGTCTTGTCAGCCTTACTCTGCAATTAGAGGTACAGGCACGGGGCAGGGTGCGGTGCTGGCGTGGCAGAGCCAGTGTCCCAGGCTTTCCAGGTGAAAGTTGCCCCTCTCTTGTGTGAAGCAAGAGCAAAGTTATGACCATCAACAGCCCATCTGGCCCCAAAGCGGGGTTAGAGGCGAGCCCTGGATGCAGGCTAGATGAACACCATGGCAAGCCTGGTGTCGAGATGCCTAGTCCCAGCAGTGTCGCATCAGTAACTCCAACAGCTCTTTACAGAGGAGGCGGCATCAGTAATGCCTCCTTCCTTTGCAGCCGGGGAGTGGAGCAGCACGGGGGAACTCCACCTCCAGCAGCTGGTGGGAAAGCAGGAATCCTGGCCTTCCAGGCCATCGCGCTGTGCAGGCTGTCCTCTTTGGGGAGGAGAGCCCAGCCTCACCAGCACAGTGACAGGGGGAAAATGCGGTGCTGGTGTTCTACCACGAGATAAAACGACCATCGCGGCGTTTCTGCAGTGTCAGCGCAGAGCGACGCTTGGGCAGGGCTGGGAGCCACAAGTGTCCAGGGGACAGTGAGCCATCAGCTCGGTCCTTAGCAGATGGCTAACAGCAGTTGGCTCGTGTTCAGGACCTGACTTCTGCCTTGCCCTCTATTGCGCCATTTCAGAGAGTCCCAGATGCTCACCGTGAGCCCCAGGGTCCCTGCATGGTGCAAACAGCCTTTTGGAGCCCAGAGTGCCTTTGAAGTGGTTCCAGCCCTCCAAGGCCCAACCACGGCAGGGCTGGCTGACACACATTCCCATTTTGCTGTCAGCTGCTTCCACTCCAGGGAGAAGGAGCGAGCTCCTGCCCTCAGCTAGGAGACCACGAGATGCTGGCACAGAGTAGGATGAGCCCAGACAGGGCTATTCAGCTGGGAAAGGAAGATCACAGCAAATAAAGTGGGAAAAAAGACAGCCTTGAGACCTACTGACTTAAGACACAAGAAATTGCATGTTTTGGAGGAGAGGCTGGCCTGGATCCAGAGCAGCAGAGGCTGGGTACAGCTGCCCCTCCTGCTGATAAGGGTCTGGTAAAGCTTGGCACAGGACACTGCCTGCTGCAATCAGAGTGACCAATAAATTCTGCTTGTTTCAGAAAGGCTGTCACTGTAGCTGATTTTGGCCATCATTGGGATGGTTTCTCTATGAAAACGGAAGATTCCTGTCCATGGAAGTGGATATAGCCCAGTGTGGGGCCAAGAGATGAAGAATGACTTAGGGCATCTTCCACCCACACCAAAGGGAACAGCCAGCTGGAAGGAGGCTCAAGGGAAGAGTCCTGAGCATAGCGAAATCCACCCCAGGCAGACAGCGAAGGGGCCCCTAGTTTTCCTCCTGGGGGTAAGATGGGGATGAGCATGCTGCAAGGTATCACGCTGGGTGCACTAGGGGAAAGGAGATCTCCCTTTGACTCTGTGAACTGGCAAAAAAGCTACAGAAATTGCCTCTGCTTGGCATGTTGTGATGACCATTTCCCCTCCACCCTGTGCTGCCGAACAGCCCCCTCAAGAGACAACCCCTGTGCTGGGAGCTCTGAGCATCCAAAAATTGCCAGCCAAGCCTCTGCCCCCAAGCCATAAGGCAGGTGATTTTCACAGAATTTTCACAGAATCACAGAATCACTAGGTT